GGGGGGGGATGCGGCGTCCATCCTCTTTCGTTTAGGGGGGCCGGGGTTTGGGGAACCATGCCCCCTCGCCCTCCTCCCCCACCCCTAAATCAGTGTACAAATAGTTTGGTATCAATTGCAAAAATACAAACTGGGCGACTTATATATATAACTTCCCCACAAAAACAGACGATTACGTTTGCTAACAATTTTCGACTTCTCCAAAAAAAAAATCTATTACCATTTTCAAAACCTTGACCGATCGGGAATTTAATCAAAAAATAAAGGAATAATTTCGGTGATTGCTTCAAGAAATTAGCCACTAGATTATATACTTCAATTTTGACATTTTTCAATTAAATATTACCTGTTTGCCAGAGAACACGATTGATTTTCTTCCTTTTCGCTGATTCGATTCCTCCGTGGCCGCTTTAGTTCAACCACAATTCCACTTTCAGCAAATACCCAGCCGTTCGCTTTTGCTGCGCAAATGTCATCAAATGTCAAAAAGCCCGAGCGAAACGTAAAGGCGGCGCTGCTGACGAATTTTTGGTACTGACCGAAACTTTTTTAACGTGCACTTGGGGCAGAAAATATCCTTCTGAACTTTTTTGGCACACTTTTACATTAGTTTGGTTTTCGCTTTTATTTTAAAATTTCGACTTCTTGGGGTTTTCACAAAATTCTTCACTCACGATAAAATCGAAAGCTACACTGCCTCTGCCACCGACGTCGTTAACAACAGCAACAACAATGCAGGGGAGTATACCGAGCGAACACCTTTTTCTTCCCGTTAAAATTTTGGTCGCATTTTTCTCCTAGTTAGCACAATTTTTACTTGCTTCCACTCACCTTTTACATGCGATTCTTTTGGGAAAATTTCACAAATATATTTAGCAAATTACTCCCGGCAACTAGTTTCACTTTTTTATACTTTCCTATTAAACTTTGCTACTTTGAAATGTAGGAATTTACAGATTCGCGGACAGCGCCTTTAATCGCTTGTAAAAAATTTTTCCTTTCGTTCACTGTGAATCAGAATTGGAACACTTTGAGCTACCTTCGTCATTTGGCGCATATGTTTGGTGAGTTTCGCTAACAAATTGAGCTACTCGGCGGCCATTTTGTGGTGAGATGAATGCAATAATAATATTCAAATAATGTGGCCAACACAATAACTTATCATGAACCAAAAATACGCGATCAAGCAAGAGCGCCACGTTGTATATCTAACTGAATTTGAGAAAAAAGTGGTAAAACGGGTTCGTCAGCTGAGCCTTTTACACCACAAGTACCAATTTTTACACCTTTCTTTAACGAAAGAATAGTTAATTCAACATAACACGTTTTAAAGCGTCTTAGTGAATAATTTTTACCTAAATAACGTGTTTATAGTACCTGACAAAAATTTTGGTTCTCGTTGTTTTCTTTAATTTTTTTCCTTTTCGTTCGTTGTCCAGAGAAACAAGATGTCGTAGAAACCGCTAAAAAGTTGATTTTTTCGCTCTCAGGGCGTTTTCCGAATCCGAATTCTAAAATAGGGCGTTGTTGAACAAATTTCTGGCTGGCAAGATAGGCCAACCTGCCACTCAGCCATTTAGTTAAAATTTTGGCCCCAATTAAGAATTACATTCGATCTTCGACTGTGGTCGAAAGTGCTGATCGAACGAATTTTCATTTGGTATTTTGGTGCTCATTCGATGAAGAACCTCGCTATTGTGAATTTATTTATATATTTGTGTTATACATATCGATGGCTGAGTGGAAGATCGACCTATCTCGGCAGGCAGTGGGAAACGCCCTATCTTTTCAAGAACGCCCTACTTCAGAATTTGATTGAAAAACGTCCTATTTCAGAATATTATTGAAAACACCGTATCTCAGAATTTGGTTGAATAACGCCCTATCTCAGAATTCGATTCAAAAACGCCCTATCTCAGCTTTTTGAATCGGCATCTAATATACGGCGTTCTTCAATCAAATACTGAGCTACGGCGTTTTTCAATCAAAACTGAAGTAGAGCGCTCTTGAAAAGTTCCCTGAGATAAAGCGTTGTTGAAAAATTTTCTGAGATAGGGCGTTTTCGAGCTGGCTGCCGAGATAGGTCGATCTTCCGCTCAGCCATCGATATGTAAATTTGTGCAAATTAAAACGAAATAAAAATACAGCGAGTTTATAAAAACGTGAACGATTCGTCAGAGGATGAGAGGTTAGAAAACTGGCCAAGAGCAGAAAACGTTTAATAGAGTTTAAGTGCGGTCTTTCGAATGTATTTTGACATACAATATATTTAAGAAATTTTGTGATTTAAATCTATTTTAAATATATTAAAACTATAAACAGCGTATTGGGATTTTCTTTCATATGTAAAAACCAGACTTTCGACCTTGTGTTTAATATTCACGACGCGAGACCGATTGGCCATACATATAACTATCGCTTGGTGGCGAGGGAGTGAAGAGCATTGTAATTCGTGCATTAAAAATGCTTCACTCTCGAAGCAGTGAAAAAACGCTTTTGAGAAAAAACATTCCCCAAGAAAAAGAATTATTAAAAAATGTTTCGTTTTTTTTTTTGAGAAATGTAAGCTTAACTGATAAAAATTCACAAATAGGTACTATTCATATGTGTTCTTTAATACCTATTTCATTCACCCGTGTGAGACGATTATACAAAAATGTGCATTCATCTTTCTTCTCGGCTATGAAGGGCTGTTAAGCGTTTGAGTGGTGAAATAAGCTACCCGGTACAAGACGAAACGGGACGTTCCCTTGTGACCAGAGTAACCATTTTATACACTACTGAGTAATTTCTTTGTAAATTTTCAATAGAAGTGATACTAAAAACTTCTGCAAACCCTTTTTATCATACATCTTGAACTTATTCGATTGTGCAAAAGTGCCGATTCGAATGATTAAATAATGTTTATATATGGTAGCATTAAAGAGTAAACAGATAATAGCAAACAAATCGCCAGTGTAATACACTTCAGCCTAAGTGAAAAAGTTACAAGGACGGGTCATGTCCTCATTATCAGCTTCTGCAGAAAATGTGTCTAGCACTGGAGGTGCTGCTAGCGTTGACCAAACAGCAGGGGCTTCAGATGGAAGCTCAAGCATGTGTTTGGAGCTGGCTTTGGAAGGTGAACGTCTGTGCAAGGCAGGTGATTGCCGCGCAGGTGTGGCGTTTTTTCAAGCAGCAATTCAGGCAGGAACTAATGACCTGCGTACTTTGTCAGCTATTTACTCTCAATTGGGGAATGCCTACTTCTATTTAGGTGATTATGCCAAAGCCATGCAATATCACAAACTAGATCTCACACTGGCACGAACAATGAATGACAAATTGGGCGAGGCCAAATCGTCTGGAAATTTAGGCAACACTTTGAAAGTTATGGGGCGCTTTAACGAGGCTGCTATTTGTTGCGATCGCCATCTGACATTGGCACGACAACTTGGAGACAAGCTGTCGGAAGGTCGGGCGCTTTATAACTTGGGAAACGTTTATCATGCAAAAGGCAAACATATGGGACAAGGGAATCTTGGTGATTATGGAGATGATGTACGCGACGCTCTAAGCAAAGCTGTCGACTTTTACCAAGAAAATTTAAAACTTATGAGAGAATTGGGTGACCGCGGTGCACAAGGAAGGGCATGTGGAAATTTGGGCAATACTTATTACTTGCTTGGTAAGATTTTTGTATCTATAAGCTGGTATTTTTAGATATTTATGAATAGCTAATATATGTATACCTATATAGGAAATTTCCAAAAAGCAATCGAGCATCACCAAGAACGGCTTTGCATTGCAAGGGAATTCGGTGATCGGGCTGCTGAACGTCGAGCGAATAGTAATTTGGGAAATTCTCATATTTTTCTGGGCCAGTTTGAAGAAGCTGCAGAGCATTATAAACGTACCTTGGCTTTGGCCATTGAGCTAGGGGAACGAGAAGTAGAGGCGCAAGCTTGTTACAGTCTTGGAAATACATATACTTTGTTACGAGAATTTTCAACTGCTATTGACTATCATCACCGTCATCTAGCTATAGCACAAGAATTAGGTGATCGGGTTGGAGAAGCTCGCGCTTGCTGGTCCCTTGGTAACGCGCACTCGGCTATAGGGAATCATGAAAAAGCGTTGCTGTATGCCGAAGCTCATCTTAATCTTGCCGTGGAATTACAGGATTCTGTTGGGGAAAGTACAGCTAGGGTCAATATTTTTGACTTGCGAAAATTACTTGGATTGCCGGCCTCGCCAATTGAGAGTGAAGAACGTTCAATTGCATCAGATATTTCAGCTGGTATTGATCAGCGGTCCGACAGTTCAGGAAGTTCACAGAGTCGTATGGTACGTGGGATTTTGTTATTTAGCTATCGAGGAAATCGCTTGATTTTGAAAATTTTATTTATCGCCTTTCATAGGTTCGAGTAAGGCGCCAAAGTATGGAACAATTAGATTTGATAAAAATTACACCTGATGGAAAACGTGCAGAACAAATAAATATACAAGAACAAAAACACAACCAAAATGCTTCCGAAATCAAAGGGCATGATGAAGATTTCTTTGAGTTTTTATCACGTTCTCAATCTAAACGAATGGATGACCAACGTTGCTCAATTAAAATTGCCAAAAATCCACCAAACTCATCTTTACCAAAGGTAGGGGGGACATCTTCGCTGACATCAAGCACCGGTGCAACACGTAAGCCGTTAGCGCCACAAAACTCCATGACAAGCAGCAATGCCGGCGATGAGGTTGTTTCTGCCGCTAAATCGTCCAATAATTCGAATGCTAGTTCTGGACCCACTTCAGGCAGTCATCATGGACACGGTCAACTTGCACGCAGTAATACAACCACTCAACAACCTGATGATGCCTTTTTGGAAATGCTCATGCGTTGTCAAGGTTCACGTCTAGAAGAACAGCGCTCTGAACTCCCACGATCCAACATTACAATGGACGCAGAAGCACCAACACGAGCCAGTGCCATAGATAGGGGTCGTAGTGGTGGTAACAGTGCTGCTGGTGGCAGGACCGTACCAGATGAAGATTTTTTCTCGTTGATTATGAAGGTACAAAGTGGTCGCATGGAAGATCAGAGGGCAGCAATACCTGGTTTTGGAGGATTTCCCCAACGCAGTACAGGCAATGGAGCGGCAGCAGGTGGTACGGGTGTGAATGCGGCCAACAGCACTAATAACACGACGCCAAAGTAATCTTGATGTATGTGTGTATCTACATACAATTTAAATAGCTGTTAGATGTGGCAAGCGCAAGTCTTTTTAAAAAGTCTATCGAACTCAACTGATTGCAGCAGCAGGTAAACCTTGCATGTAAAATGACTTTCGAAAGCAGTTTTTATTTTCGAAAATCAAATTTTCCGATTCTGCCTTCTGTCTGTTTTCTCCGTGAATGCAGAAAATTCCAGATATTTTTATTCTGCCCTGAAAAAGTTTTAATAAGCCAGTGCAGCACGAGCAAGTTGAAATTACTTCTCGAAAGCAGGGACCGTAACGGTTATGCTATTTTTTTCAAAAAAGTCAATAATAATCGTGATCACAATCGTAATTTTTTCACCGATATGTTTTAAGTCAAAAATAAAAACTACAAATTGCCTTGTAAGTTTTTCGGTAAAAAATAACTTTGACTTTTATTTTTTTCGGTCAAATATAAGCTTACTCTTAGCGATTTGCCATACGAACTTGGCAGCTATGTATATTAATTGTTAAATTGAATGCCGAATCATTCCTGTGAAAAGGTGAATAACTTAAAGCTTAAATTAAAGAAACTCAATATATTTACAGAAGATAGAAAACTGCAATTGAAAGGATGTGCATTTTTTTATTAAAACATATTGTATTGAGAATATGTAAACAGCTATTTTGACCGAAAAAATAAAGTCAGATTTAACTTTCATATTTGACCGAAAAAGTAAAAGTTAAATTTTAACTTTTATTTTTGACCGAAAAAATAAAAGTCAAGTTTTAACTTTTATTTTTGACTGAAAAAATATCAGTGAAAAAATAAACGTTAATTGCTGACTTTTTTTGAATGAAGTTAAAAAAAAAAATTAAATCATTTTTGAATTCAAATTTTGAAAATAACTTTCAATCCCTGCTCGAAACCTATTTCTGCAAATCTTCTGCAAAGAACTTTTTGGCCGTTTGGAAAAGGCGCTTGCATTGTTACTTTTAACCGCACTTTTACATTTACATTTGAAAATTATACATACATAAATATTTTTAATTTCTTTTCCAAGTTTTTTGCAACATTTCATTGTTATCGTAGGTATTAGATACCAAATCTGTAATGATGATAACAGAACATTTCAATTCGCCATAAGACGTTGATATCTTAAAAAATTATTTTACAAACAAATTACATTCGATCTTATCCTTTGCATCGAGATTTTTTTTTTTCATCAATATATAAGCAATACTGTATTTCAAAGTGATTAGTCATCTCCAACGATGTTTGGCAGTTTTTCTTATTAAACATCTCTCAACAAACATCAGCTAAAGGTGATTAATATTTCATAATATGTATAACACCTATCAATCGCTGAAGCTTCATTCTCGTCACATTTTGCAGAATAATCTGTTCTGAAGAAAATTGGTGAAAATAAATATAAAATCTTGGTTTCTTTGGTCTGTGCGACGCTTTTTACCAAATTTATTTTTACAAAGCTTCCCACAAGTCCCAAACATTTGCCTATTCAAATGAATCGGGAGTGTATATCTAGACATGTACATACATAAATACATATGTACTTATGTATTGTATGTTATGCAATTCACTAATATATTTTATATTCGGCAGAAGAGCAACCATCAGATTGATTTCTGTGTTTGATACCTTTGAACGGTCTAAACAAGTTTAGGTTGCAGCCCTTGGTCGGGTACAACTCGAGCCATTGCTGTGCATAAATAAGGCCGTCTGACGTCGAAATAACAACGATTGTTCCTCGTCGACCCCGGCTTCTTTTCGGGGGGGATTGGCCAATATACTTTGAAACCCATCTTATGAATATGTATTTATATTCCATCAGCCATGGATGCGCATGGACATAACGAGGAATTCTGCATCATTAGCTCAAAAATTTAATTTAAATTTTTGTAACAGTTTTTTGTTAAATTAGCGATATGTATATATGTACATTAGACCGTATCGAAAAAAAGTTCGTCGTATGAAGTATTTTTGAAAAGCATTAAAAAAAATATATATATTTTTTTATTTTACAACCCTAGTAGTCGCCCAATAACATTTTTCTTCATTTATAGTTGGATTTTAAAGCTTGATTCACCAATGTTTTTGTATCGGCGAGAGGGTTTTTCCTACGGAGGTTCATTGACCTCATGTGCTCTATTGTGGTAATATCATAATATTACTATCATAAACATCTAGATCACATTTCTTATCAGAAAACCAAGGAGGCTTTTTGATATCTGAAATGTTTTCCGAAAAGAATTTCCCTTTAACGATACTTATTTCCTTAACCTCATTTTCCCATTCATTCCAAATAGCCTTATGAATTCGACCTAGAGCTTCCCCTAAAGTAAGGTCCACATTTTTAACAATACCCTCGCTAGCCGCCACTTTGGCACATTTATCCGCCTTTTCATTTAGCTCAATTCCTACATGACCCATACTATCTTGGAGCTAATACAATTATACTTTGAAATTATATGATGTATTGATGCCACAATGTGATTGGATGAATACTTTTTCCCCAGGAGACTTACAGCTGCCAAACTATCCGTCAAAATGACCCATTTCTTTATATTACCCTTAACTAAAAACGTGACTGCTAACTTAATAGCTACCAGTTCACCAAAGGTGGAATAGAAAATTCCATTTAACTTGCCACCGTCAGACATACTCTTCTGTGGGTCATAGAAAGCAACCCCAACTGCATCATTTACTACTGAGGCATCCGTCGCTAAAATATAGAAATCATTTTTTTTTTTAATCATCAATTTTGGCCTGAAAAATGCTCTTTAGCTGCTCATGACTAAATTCTTTTTTTGCTTTCATCAAAGATGACATCTCTACCTGAAAATTTTTGCGCTTGCTGAAAGCAATTTTAACATTAATGCTGTTAAAAATATCCTTAAATTTGTTGTATATAAAGCTGTAACTTGTTTTCACAGGCGCACTATGCATCAAGTCATTTCTAATCTCATCATTAACTAACCATTGTTTACCTAATTCCTTGGCAGCAAGCCACTCAGCTCTTTTGAGTGGAGGGAGTTCCCCAGCCAAGACATACCTCGCATGAATAGGCGAGCTTGGGGGAAGCCCAAGACATCTCCTTAGCGCATCATTATGGATACCTTGCAATTTAGTGTTGAAGCCGCGCGGAGCATTAGCGTAAGAGATAAGAGAGAAAAATTTCCTACTCATGGAGTTCATACTTAAAAATTTCGTTTTTTTTGCATTTATGCTCCGATTCAAGCTGTTTAACATAATCTTGAATTCATTCAACTTACCCTGCAGCGTATCAATTGCCTCAGTATCATTTCTTCCACTACATACAAAGGCAAAGTCATCGGCAAGTTGGTAGATTTTGGTGTTTTCATTGCCTAAACAATGCACACCCGCAGTGTATAAATTAAACAAAATCGGTGATAAGCAACTCCCTTGCGGGAGACCATTTGACACCTCAACGCTGTCTTTTCCCAGCATCAAAACCCTCCTTGAAAAGAAATTTATAACCCAGTTACGAATTTTACCCTCAACTCCAAAACCGGCCAGAATTTCACCTAACAACGCGATGTCCACACAGTTGTACGCATCCGAAACGTCCAAAACACACATAAACACTTTCCTATTTTGCTGCCTTTGTCTACTCGTCCAATATAAACATTCGTTTAAACACATTGCTGCTGACTTTCCTTTGCGATAAGCAAATCAATTTTGCGGCAAGATGCCTTTTAGTTCAACCCAGTCATATAATTTTTCTTTCACTAACATGTTTAAACATTTAACTATCACCGACAGCAATGAGATCGGCCTGAAATTTCTGAAGTCAGTTAACTCTTAATTTAAATTAGGAATGGGAACAATTTTTATAATTCTCCATTCTTCCTTTACCTCATTGTTATTGAAAAAGGTTTCTAATTCTTTTACAACAACTAATTTGACCTCATCCGGAAGCTTTTTCACCATTTCAATAGTGATATTGTCACAACCACCCGCAGACTTTTTTTTGTGTTTGAGTATCTCATCAAGGTTCTCCAAGCAAAAACTTACATGAGCGACACTTGCGTTTCCAGAGCTGGAGCTCCCTAAAACTTGCCATCCATTGTTACCACTGTGCTGCTCGACCTGATCCCTCAGATGTGTAAGATACCTACCATTGTTTTCCACTGTCCACTTGAAACACCCTCTGCTCCCTTTAACCTGATTAACAAATCTCCAAGCTTCAACCGTATTTGGACACTCTTTTAACTGCATAATCCTATCTTTATAACTGTTACTTTTAGCAATTTTAACCTCTTTCTTCCACTCTTCTTCACATAGTCGTAGATTTTCAAAATCCTGTACACTGTTAGTTAGTTTGGCCTTTTTTCTGGCCACCACAACCAATCTGTATCTCTTTTTTAGGGTCATTGTTCCACCACGCTTTTGGTGCATGTTTGACGCTGTTTAGATCAATTGAGGCTTTTTTAATTTGATTTTTAACTTCATTCACTATGTTTTCCAATCCACCCTCAACACGAACCGCAGAAAGCGCAGTCGCCAGTTTGCTTTTTTGTACAAAAATGTTCGGTCTTTCAACAGTTATGACAATTGGCCGATGATGGCTACCACCGACATATCCTTGATTGCATTCCCATTTGACATTCCCACTAATATTCGAGAAAGACAGATCTAGAACTGACAGGCCTCCTTGACTTACCCTATTTACCGCAAATAAACCATACCAGTTTTACCAGTGGTAGCACTGATAAGAACTCTCCCCTTTGGATCGTCCTTGTTACACCCCCAGGCACGCATTTTGGCATTAAAATCGCCAAGAAGTCTATTAATTTTATAGTCAAAAGTATACATATTAGTCCCCGGGGGGAAATAGGCAGATACTATAATTACATTTTTATCAAGATTTGTAGTTTTAGCTACAATTATGTCTTGATTTGTATTGTATCTAACACGCTGAATTTCAATGTTTTTCCTGCTTCCAATGGCTACTCCACCATAGCCATCCACTCTGTTTTTAATTAATAAGTTAAAATACATTAATTTGTGCCCCTCCCTAATATCCCCAAGCGAGAACACCTCTTGGAGAGCCACTACATCAATCTTGTTATCTTCAATAAAAAAGTCCATGTAATTTCTATTAGCTTTTAAACTTTGACAGTTAAGCTGCATTACTTTGATCGCCATCAATTTTCGAGTTAAACCGTAGTCTATCATTAACACTCTCCATTATAGCATAATATAACACCTTTAGAATCGGTTCGTCCGCTTCGATATTGAACTTTTCCACTAAAAGATTTAGTAACTTTTCAATCTCAGTCACTCTACCCCATTTTGGGCTCTCAAAAACTGATTTGTTGTCTTTTTTAACCCCGATTACATTTTTGCTAGAAACATCTTTGTGCTGGCTAACGTTCTGCTTAACTATCTGGTTGTACCTCCTTTTTGTGATCACTCTATTTGCAATATCTTCATTGTTTTGAACATTACTATCACTTTTACTTAGGCTAGGAAAATTACTTTCCTCCTCCAGAATAGAAAACCTATGTTCCGACAATGCGTCACCATAAGTGCCATACACTTCTCGTTTAGACATTTTTTTGATAGTCATAATTTCAATAACTTTCTGCTCCCTTTCCCAGCTGGGGCATTTGGCTTTATTGACCGAAACATGACCATAGCTACCACACAAGATACAGTTCACATTATCGCTGGTTACTTACATACCGTTCCTCCTTTCCACATATAATGCAACGATTCTTGGCTCTACACGAAAGCTTTGTATGACCCAGTTTACCGCAGTTAAAGCATTGCTTAGCTCTGGGTAAAAAATTATTTACTCTAAAATTTACACAAAAGATTTTAATGGAATCAGGTATTTCGTTACCGTCGAAGCCAATCTTTATAGACAAAGTCGGTACAAATTTATCCTTGTTGACAGAGTCCCTCCTAGTAATACGAGAGATCGACTTAACTTTGACACTTGATTGTATATTATCAAAAATCTCATTTTCCAAGAAGTCAAAGGGCACCTGGCGAATCACCCCATAGATTTCAGTGAAACTCCTGGGAATGAATACCCTAAAACCCATCTCCCTGATTTTGCAATTGCTCACACTCTTGTTAGCATTTTCAATCGAGTCAAAGAAAACCTTGTACAAGGATTTACCGATCGCTAGAATATTATCCATGCCGCTAACATTTAATTTCCTTATTTTATCGAATAAGAATAAGCCATTTCTCATTTTCTTGTTTTCAAAATTAACGCTGTTTGACGTGTCCATCAACACTATAGCTTGGCATCTATAATCAGCCTGATATAGTTGACTTACACCTCTACCATTGAAATCACTACTTCCTACATTTGAGGTTAAACCACCAACTTGATTTTTGGGATAAGCACCCTTATTTTCATACCCCTGAGATCTGCTCTGAACCAAAGACTGACTACTACCTTCCGCTCGCATAGTACTACCACCATCATCCATCACCTGCACAGCCCTGCCCCCCATATTTCCATCGGGATTAGCTGACAATTCCCCATTTGGCACATTTGAATTCAGAATAATTTCATGATTATTCACATGGTTACGTACGGTAACTTCTTCACAATTTAACTCTTTTTGTCGAGCCCGTACCTCCTCATTGTTTGAACAACACCCTATTCCTACCGGGTCACTACATGGAAAAACAATATTTGTAACAACTGTACCTTGTTTCCTCATTTCACCACCTTCTACCGTTTCAGACTTAACTAACTTGTACGTACCTTTCTTCAAAATCATGCCACTAAACTGAGGAAGTGCAGATGCACCAACAACACAATTTGCCTCCTCACTTGTATCAGAGAATCCCTCAACCAACCTATTAGCTTCATCTTTAAAATCTTTCTTTTTCCTTTTCATATCATTTCTACCTTTTTTCTTTTTAGTTTTTCTGCCCTTGCCCATCATAGCAGGCGTTTGTCCATCAGACAAGCCAGCCATGATGGCTTCGCCTGGCAAAACCCTCATAGCAGGCACTTGCCCATCAGACAAGTCACAATCCAATTTGCATTCTACATGTACGAAAGTGATCATTGCGAGCCCGAATACAGTTCTCGAATCGCTTTTAAATTTAGATGTTTCAAAAGGAGCAGGACCTTCTGACGTCGCTGTTTCTAAGAAACTGTGCAGTCTCTCTTTATCTGCCGCTTACCAAAATTTTCAGCAAATCCCTTGAAAACGGTGACTTCCTTGACGAGTGCAAAACTTCATTTATCTCCCCAATTTATAAGTCGGGCCTACGAAATTTAGTTGAAAACTATCGCCCCATTGTAAAACTATCTATCATTCCAAAGCTGCTGGATAAAATTGTAAACAACCAGCTCTTTGGGCATTTAAGAGTTACATATATTGTTACGCAGCAGCATGGGTTTTACCCAGGAATATCCAGCAATACAAATCTTGCTGTAATCCTAAATTTCGTGGTCATTGCGATGGAGGAGGGCGAACAAGTGGACACTCTGTACACGGACTTTGCGAAAGCTTTTGACAGCCTAAACCATATTTTGCCTCTTATAAAACATAAGAAACTTGGAGTTCACTCCAATGCTTTAAAATGGCTTGAGTCCTATCTAAAAGACAGAAAATTGGTGTTAAAAATTGGCAACAACCTCTCTAATTCTATAACAGTCACATCAGGGGTTCCGCAGGGAAGTCATTTAGGCCCCTCGCGTTTTTTCAATATTTATAAATGACATCAGCCAAACTTTGAAATTTTGCAGCTGTTTGATGTACGTCGACGATTTGAAACTATATTATCGAGTAAAAGACTGTGTTAGACTACAGCTAGACATATCATCGCTGATAAAGTGGTGTAAGTGCAACGGTTTTCTTTGCAGATTTCATAATGCAACATTATTACATTTTCTCGTAAAAATGCTGTTATAAAGTATAATTACACTTTTAACGACGGTGAGCCCTTTAATCGTGTAACCATCGTCAACTATTTAGGTGTGTACTTAGACTTGAAACTAAACTTCGATTTTCACAGAGAACATGTAGTCTGGGCGGCAAACTCTAAATTGGGTTTTCTCAAACGTAACTCAAATGACTTTTTAGATCCACTCACACTCAAAAGTCTTTACACATGTTTGGTGAGATCTATATTGCGTAAAACGAAATTTGCTAACAATGAGCCCATTCACAGGTCCATTCGTCTATGTAACTCTATTTGTAATTATGCCAACCTTTACTCATGTAGGGAACGTTTTAAAATTAATATCAATGATTATTTTATTTTCAAATAACTTTCACATATTTTGTTGTTATCCTGTAAATATTATAACTAATTTTTGTATAACATACTATTATTTTTATTTTTTTTCCTGCTTATCTGTGAGGACAGTGTCCGGTAGATAAACAAATAAACAAAATGTGTTTTATTTCGGGTTTTACTGAACTAATCGAAATACTTCTTTCGCAAAAAGATTAATGATTTTTGACGGTGCTTAATTTTCTGTCATTAGGGCGGTACGTTAGAGTGGTAGCAACTGAGATCTGATGGGTAATTACCACAATGGAACACATGAGGTCAATGAACTTTCGTAGGAAAAAACCCCTCCTCGAGACAAAAACATTGGTGTATCACACTTTAAAATCCGACAGCAACTGCCGAAGATATGAAGAAAAATGTAATTGGCGACTACTAGGGTTGTCCAAAAAAATATTATTATTTTTTAATGCTTTTCAAAAACACTTCATATGAGGAGGTGTACGGCGAACTTTTTTTGACGCTCCAATACACACATACACATACATATTGTATATTGTAAGTATGTATTTCAAGGTCAGCCCAGTTGCGGTTTGAAAACATTTAGTATTCTACTCATTTCAAAATGCTTGTAATTATTTATTATAAGAATATTTTCAACATATGATATTATAATACACAAACAAGTGCACGTATAAATAGTCGAGCTTTTATGCTAAAATGTATTAAGTATTACTATACACATTTACATAAATATGTACGTATCCCACTCGGAAAATAGGTAAGCGCCATGTGGAACGTACATATGGTATCGGACATACTTCTGAGCCGCTTTACAAATTAAGTTACATACGTAGAACGAAGAGCGGTCGCTCTGAGTAGTTTGGCGCTTGGAAGTAACTTCGGCGGCACGTTCTTTTGCAAGCGACAGTGTAATGCCTCGTCGGAGGTGTTCATTTTGTGCTTTACTAGTAGATGACATTGGTCATGATGACAATTTTGGTACTAAAAGCTGAAAGAAAACATGGATTACCTCGTAAGATGCTTACCTATTTTCCCCAGTGTAATGTAAACGCAATACATACATACATGTGTATGTACATATGTACACATACACGAGGAAAAAATCTGAATACATACATAATTGTAATTAAATAACATTCTGCAGTAAAGCTATCATCTTCTATTAAGCTGCATTTCATACATACATGTTTACAAATTCCAAACAATTTTATGAAGCATTTTAAATAAAACATTGTCAATAAGACTAAGCATTTTTACAAAAAAAAAAAAAAAAACTACAAAAAATTGTGTTTAGCGAACGCTCACAATGCGTGAACGAGCTTTGCATACTAAAAAGCCAAATTAATGTAATATAAGTCTACTAAACCTGAATAAATATTATTTTTATCTAATAAACGCCCTCAAAGTATTTATTTTATAGAATGCTTACAATAGAAACAAATTTTTTGTCGAATGGTTTCACTTAAGAAGGCCTAGCTAAATATATTCTGGGATATTGAATTAATTGAACCAAGTATTGGTTTCTTGTTAAGAGATTGGTGTAAGTTGAGTAATTGGCGTCTTAAGTTATTGATATATCGAGATTTTCGTATTTCTGAAATTTACCGTTATATGGGAAACGGGCGTGATTTTAGTCCGATTTCAAAAATGTTCAATATGTTTGCTTGTTGCTTATCATCACAAGTGGGTGGTGCCACGCCCATTTTCCAAAATTTTCGTAACTGAACTGTCTTATTTTGTGGCAAAATTCTACTTCACAATCCCACTTTCAACAATTTGGATCCAGTATTTCCGGAGATATCGCGGTTTTTCCGTTATTCGAAAATACCGTTACATGGCAAATGGGCGAGGTTATTGTCCGATTTTGCCCATTTTCAGTACCAACCTACCTTAGATAAAGTGCAACCTACTTACCAAATTTCGTTGATATGATGTATCGCATCGTATGCACGAACGGACAGACAGACAGACGTAGCTTAATCGACTTCTTTTTTTTCTTTCTAAGCAATTTGGTATATGCATGTACATATGTAAGTCTATATGATGGGCTACAAAACTGCATACTCGAAAAGTTTCTTGAAATTTTGAATAAAATGTTGAAAATTTTGATTAAAATTTGTTTAAATTTTTGTGAACTTTATATAAAGTGTGAAACTTTTATTTCAATGGTTTATATTATAGAATGAACTATACTATGAACGGTGAATGAACTCGAATGCTCCAACTTTTGTGTACAAAGTAGGAAATGCGAATTTACATGGTGTCTGTTATATAACACCACGCGACAAAAACAAAAAAAAAAAATTCAATAAACATATGAAGCAATCAATATACTCACGAAACTATGTATGGGTAAAACTGCGTTTTAAATATTTCTAGATTTTGTTGTTTCAAAGATATGATAATAATAAAAGGGGTCTTCATCAAAAGTGATAAATTTGATAAAGTGATAAATTTATCATTTTGATAAACGAGCTATCAATCTTTATATGGAAATTTATTTAACCACTTTATCAAACGATTTCTGTGGATAAACGTATAAATTTCCGCAAAATTAAACCCTGACAGACTGTCAGGTGGTCGATTTTGCTACGAACACATAAAAAGCAAATTAGCACAATGGACGAGGTAAGAATGAAACATAACTAGCCAGATAAGTGAAATAATGAAAGAATGCGGATAACCTGATACATTTAAGCAATTTATCGCTTTATCACTTTAGATGAAGACCCCTAATAATAATAGTGTTTGGCCGAGCTTCTCATCCGATTTGTGGCGTGCGCTTTGATGATGTCACACAAAGCGGAGGGATCTACAGTTTTATGCCGACTCTGAACGGCGATTGTTTTTTATGAGAAGCTGTTTTTTCGTGGTAGAAATACACTCGGATGTGTGACATGGACTGCCGAGGGCCGACAGCTGTAATTTACATGCATATCGCAAACCGTCCTCAAAAGAGCCACAACTCAAAATGTGGCATTTTTGGAACTATGCGCTAAAAATCTGGCAGCACTGGAATTTTTCTTTTTTAATAGTTGTCAACAAAATTTTTTCGTTTTTGTCATCAATTTACTGCTGCAAATGCGAAAATAGGCCAGCTATATGGCTTTCGTCAAATACGGATAGGAAAAAAGTGAAACGTTGAACTGTACCCACTGTTTACACAGTGGTTTGAGGTAGCTGGCACTGGCAGGTGGAGGACAGGTAGATATTATTATTGAATTTTATGAATATGGTATGTTTTGTGAACTAGTCAAGTAAAACTGTTATGCCGAATTTCCACTAGGCTTTGAAATGACAAAAAATGTATGCCATTTAAAGAAATGTCATGTGGAAATGAACTTGTGACTTTTTTTTAAGGTCACGATCATTTTTTAAAGTCCAACTTTGTCATTTGCCATTTAATGCCTAGTGCAAATCCAACTTTATAAATTTATGAACTTTTTATTTTTGTTGTTTTTTTTGTAATAAAATGTGTTACGGTTTTGCAAAACAAAAATAAATAAAATCTAAGGTTTTTTTTTATATAAAATCTTCAATTACGATATTTCTAGAGAAAAACGATTTTTTTAGTTTTTGCGAAATTTTTAGGTTTTTTTTTTTGAAGATTCGTCTTCCGCACTAGGAATACTTTTGACAAACATTTTCTGGCAACACTGCAACACAGCGGTCGCCAAAGATATGATTAATTTCACAAATTATTTGAAAAATTCAATGAAATGTAGAATAAAAGTATGGGTACCAAGTGAAAGCAAAAATTCAACAGAATTAAAAAAAATTAAAATTTTTTAGTTCACGAGGTCGAATGGATATCGAAATTACCCTTTTAATTAATTTTATTTTTTAAGCTTATAATGTTAGAAGGACGAGATTTGAGGAAGTGCTCGGGTGTATATGTTTGTCCCTAACAAATAATTGTTTTTCCAAAATAAGTATTTCAAAATTACAAGGTTATTCAGGGATTCAATTTTAAAAGGACAATACCTATTCGTCTTTATGCACAAAAATTTAATAATTTTTTGTAGTATCATATTTTTTAAATTTCAAAGTCCTTTTAAAAAAATCCTGACGTCAGAGAGAAAAACTATAAAACGTAGTTTTATTATACTTGGTCCATAGTTTTGCTAATATATTGATATTTATATACAATTTTGTATAAAATTGACTGTCGCACCGTGTAATAAGATAGACTTAAAAAAACAAGAAACAATAAATAAAGAAAAGCAAAAATCCTAAAACTTGCCAATTTTTTTCCAATGCTAGTGAAATGGTTCCGTGTGCAGAAGTTCACGTTAGTGGGGAAAGCTTTTCACTGCCATTCAACAAGGAGTAGCCAAAAGTGATTCTTTTGCGTACGACTCAAGCATCATCCGACTTAGGGAGCGACCAAACACTCGTTTGGGATCGAGGAGGTGAAAATCCTCGTGTGCGCTGGGTTTGGGTCTCGCCACGTAAAAACTGCTACCAAAGGAATTTAATCAATTAGGTACGACCAAAAATCTCAAATCTCATAATTTAACCACTATCACGTGTTTCGAGTCGAAGAGACATTGAGTTTCTTTTTATTAATTTCCAGGGTTCTCTAAACAAAGTAAAACGAATTAATTTTCTAATGCAAATGATTATTAGTTTTCTTAAAAAATATAATCATATGGATAAAATTTATACGCACTTTACGCATAAATAATTATAAATAAATACAGAAACATATAAAACATATAAAAAAATAACAAATATATGTATATACATATGTATGCATGTATGTAAGTAGGCCTCTAGAACCGTGAAAATAATGCAGTGTGTAAAACAATATTTAAATGAATAATATGTACAACTTCTAGAAAAATTTAATATTCTTTTAATACTATGCATCTACTTGCGATTATGATTGTTGGCCTTTTTTAACAAATCATGTAACAGTCATGTGTAAAATAATAACACCATGAGTAAAATCTTAGTGATTACCTTTCAATTATATACCAGAACTTACAATACTTTATCAATCCATAGTTCAAATGGAAGTTTGTTTTTTTTTCAATACCTTTCATTATTATTTTTTATAAATTGTAACTGAAAGCAAAAAGCACATGTTTTATATGTGCTAAAAAATTTCAAGGTTAAAAGAATGAGGAAATTGGTAGAAGGATAACTTTATGGCAGTTATATCAAGATCATTTTTATTGTCATGTGGTTCAAATATGCTTTTAGGTTTAGGTAGATTCAATAAAGTGTAATGGTTGTCAATATAAAATAAAAAACAATTATTTTTGATGCCTTAGCGTTTAACACATGACTGTAAATTAATAAATATTCGCAATCTGAGCCTCACCATAGGATGAAGATTGTGGGTAAAGACAAGAATCCCAACTAGTTATAGGAAGTAATTAACACTAATAAAAAGTGAGAACCTTGAACTAAATTTTCTTATAAAGTTTATCTTAGTAACTTCTAGGTATGAAACAATTCGATCCGCAGTAGGTCGGAAGCAAAATATGTAAATAACAAATTTTAATTTTAGATATTACTGCGCTGCTGGTTTGACGTGCTTTCCGAGTCATGATCGTGAGAGCTCAAAACAAATATGGGTGCTGTAAAATCAACTGCCTTATCACCACCGCCTATACTTTTAGCAGACGTTTCCGCAGGGTATATCGGATATCCATAATGGTCGGTTAGAATCTTTGTTCGTTTGCCTCGTTTTAGCATGACATAAACGACGAAAATACTGACTAGAAACGCCGAACTGGTTGCCATAATGAATAGAACCAATTGAATGGTACTTTCAGGTGAAACCGAAGTTGTGACAGGCGAGCTCACGCTGCGGTGTATGAAATGAGAGCTAGAAATATCAGGTGTAAAATGTCCGCCTACTAAATTGAAACGATTCGCATTGATGGCCGATTCAATGGCGAAGGCTAGATCTATTTTCGCCTCATTATGCAGTTCAAAACGAACAATTACAGATCCATCAAAATTTTCTTGCACGCGCAGATTTTCCACAGCATCGCCGAGCAATTGATATAGCTCTCTGCGGATGGTGTCGTAAGCATTGCGAATATTTCGATTTGTGCGATTGACCATGTGCAATTCGATCGCCACTGATGCTATTGGCGTCTCCGGACAATAATGTGTGCCCGGTTTAAACATGTTCGATGTGTCCAATTGATTTCCCGCCGCATCGACGCACCAACAGGTTTTACTATTGCACTGAGTGGGAAGGAATTCGCCTTGTTCATTACAGGATACGGGAAAGGGTGCGATTTCGGAGAGCGCTCGACAGCGTGTTGTCCTTACCGGCATGGGCTTTAGTGGTTCAATGCTCAACTGGGAGTCCAACAACGAATTGGCCAACTCAAGTATATGCTCAGTAGCATATGATTCAGCTGCGGTGTTTGGCACAGCTGTGGCTTGTTCGGTTCGATTGACTGGTGTTTCATAATATTCACTCTCAACCGCCATGCTGTCACTCATGCTTCGCCCTCTACTACTTCGTCCATCGCTAGTGTCGGGCTCTATGTTGACGTCTAGATTCCTCCCTTCAATGCTATATTCTTCAATATCAACCATTCTTGTCATTTGTCTGATTAGTTCTTCCATGAGGTGGTCGTCAACATTAAATGATTTACTTTGACGGCCCTGACGACCATTACAAATGGGCTCAACATCACGTGTCAGTGTACCTTTGAGCGGTGCTCCTTTCTTGTCGGCACACCAGCAAACACCGTTAGTTGAAGAGAAAGCCTTGATGGGACGCGGTTTTGATGCACGTCCTAACTCCTTCGGCTGAGTGGGTGGTTCGTTATTGAGAGACGGTTGCGCACCTAAACATTGCACTGGACTCCAATGACCGGTAACGGGATCGCAGCGTGGTTGAAACCAAACAGATGAGTAACCGGAGTGCTGGGCCGCTAAGTTGTTTTTAAGTTTGAGGCGCTCGCATGAAGTCAATACTGGAAAGACATTGAGCAAGGAAAGTTGAATGAAGGTTATGCTAAGCGTATACCAATTACATACTTAAGGCAAAGTTACAATTATGAATTCGCTATTCGGCACCATATTTTATTCCCTAAACAAGTGACGACGTGTTGATCTTTTTTAAATATTCACAATATTATTCAAGTTATTTTTTGGTTCTTTTTCTATAAAAGTATTGTATGAAAGTTTTAAACTTTCTGCAAAATTTATGGCCTTATTCATAAAAAATAAAGTAGGTTTAAAGAGCTTTATAAAATGACGTTTTCATAAATTTTGTAGCTTTTAAAGCTCCTTTTTTTATGAATAGCGCCATTAATCTTTAGGCATTTTTTTGGCATGCAGTTTTATAGCCCATACAATTTTAGTCTAATGAATCTAAGTTTAAAACAGATAAAAAATCCCTTACTTAAATGAACTTACTTACTTAAATGAAAGTTTTAAACTTTCTGCAAAATTTAGGAAAAATTTCAAACTTTTTGGTCTTATGGCCTTATTCATAAAAAATAAAGTAGGTTTAAAGAGCTTTATAAAATGACGTTTTCATAAATTTTGTAGCTTTTAAAGCTCCTTTTTTTATGAATAGCGCCATTAATCTTTAGGCATTTTTTTGGTATGCAGTTTTATAGCCCATACAATTTTAGTCTAATGAATCTAAGTTTAAAACAGATAAAAAATCCCTTACTTAAATGAACTTACTTACTTAAATGAAAGTTTTAAACTTTCTGCAAAATTTAGGAAAAATTTCAAACTTTTTGGTCTTATGGCCTTATTCATAAAAAATAAAGTAGGTTTAAAGAGCTTTATAAAATGACGTTTTCATAAATTTTGTAGCTTTTAAAGCTCCTTTTTTTATGAATAGCGCCATTAATCTTTAGGCATTTTTTTGGTATGCAGTTTTATAGCCCATACAATTTTAGTCTAATGAATCTAAGTTTAAAACAGATAAAAAATTCCTTTGATTTTAGAGAAGTTTTTCTTTGGGACTGCTTTTTTGCTTTTTTTTTATGCATAACAAGTGCAATTTGAACTGGCGTTGATTTTTTGAAATTCTGTTGCGAACGATCTCATGCATTTTATTTCATAAAAAATGCATGCTTATATAGAAAAAAGTGCAAAAATCCATCAATAAAAAAATATTAAAAATCGAAGCTTTTTTATCCGCTTGAAACTTGCCTCCATTGGACTAAAATTGTATGGGCTTTAAATGGGAGAAGATATATATTTTATAGGAGAAGAGAGCCATAAACGTGAATGCGTAGAGTTTTAGACGCTAGCAGGCAGCAGCATAAAGCAAACAAGACCGGAGCCGGTCCAGCAAAGGTGAAAGGGAGCACTTCCCAATGCTTTTGAACGCGAGATTGGTGCCATGTTTGAGGAGGAACCGCGATATTTTATATTTTATGTCTCTCCAGTAAACCAAACCAAGGTTCCGATCAGGGCCGTAGCCAGGATTTTTTTCGGGGGGGTTCTGGCAAAATATTTTTTTATTTTCACTTTTAATTCAACATATTTTGATTAAAAGAAAAATACTGATAAAAATAAAATATTTCACACAAACAACAAAAAATATAATCGATAATCGCATGAGGCTATTGCCTGAAAATTTTAGCACTTAGAGGCATTGTGCTACTATGATAGCACGGCCCAGTAATCATAGTCAACTTATGTACAGTAGACTGCATCACTCCCCATCAAAAAAAAAAAAACATTGGTACTGCTTCCACTGGAATTATAAAACCTATTATATTTTAAGACTTCCGCAAAATATCACCCAAAAATATTAAGATTTACGTGAACTGGACCGATTTGAAAATACCTCCAAAAATTTAGTTTTTTATGAATAAAAAGTTTTTTTTAGATATTTTTTTTTGAATATACCTCAGATTACTAAACAGTTTAAGCTTAAAAAGTTTGCATGAAAAAATTTAGATAAATTTTTCTACGGAATCATAATAATGAGATTTTTGATGCTATTTTTGACCTTTTTTCAAAGACTGGTTTAAGAAAAACTTGAATAACTCAGCCAAAACCTTACCAATTTAGACTTATGAGGTATCGTATTCTCTCCCTTTTAATTTGTTTGCGAATAAGCTCATTCAAAGTATGAAAGGGGAAGGTAAGATAAATGCGTGTCATTCCATGTTGAGTTAAGATGTGTTGGTATTTGATAAAAAAAAATTTGGGACGTGAATGAGTTTTTTTCGCAAAGAAATAAAGAGGGTGTGAAAATACCTCTCCACTGATACCTCATAAGTCTATATAGGTAAAGCAGTTATTCCAGTTTTTCTTACACAAATCTTTGAAAAAAGTTAAAAAACAATATCAAAAATCTCATTATTATGATTCCGTAGAAAAGTTTTTTTAAATATTTTTATGCAAACTTTTTAAGCTTAAACTGTTTAGTCATTTGGGGGGATTTTTTCCAGAAAATCCTTTAAGAAACTATTTTTATTCATAAAAAAACTACATTTTTAGAGGTATTTTCGAACCGGTCCAGCTCACGAAAATCTTAATATTTTTCCGCAATATTTTGGTAGAAGTCTTAAAATATGCTAGGTTTGGTAATCCCGCCGGAAAAACCGCAACTTTTTTTGTGGCGATGCAGTCTAATGTACAGTAGTCGAAAAAATTATAGCTGCACCAAATTTTCACAAGTTTTAAATTATTATTATTTTTTGTTATTTAATTTTGGTTAGTTTTTTATAGTTCATTCTTTAACAACATCCGTCTAAAGACAAGTTTAAAGGCAGTGTCACACGATTGGGTATTTGCCAAAATTTGGTGCAAATCGTATCCTGTGAATACCAAAATGTTTTTCTTTATCCCAATCACGAAAATTAATTCGTTGAAATTTTTCAACAGAACATCGCTGTATCGTACCAATCCTTTGACTACAAAAAACATTTCCCATTTTTTTATTTTGTACCAATAGCCCAATATAAAAATGTGATAATCTGTACAAATGTATCAGCCGATTGACACTGCCTTAAAAATTTATGCAATTTAAAAAACTTCAACAAATTTTCGTAAAAATATCGAATTTTTTAATAAGATTCTGAGTACGCAGTTGTAGTAGAATAAAGTACAAGTTTCAAATGGCTAAAAACTGCGATTGATGTTTTGGAATTTTTAAAAAACCTCGAAATTTATACGAAAGTTTGTTGAATTTTTTTTTTAATATTGCACAAATTTGGAAACTTGGATTTACACGGGTTTTGTTAAAATAACAACGAAAATAATACGTTAAAACTTGGCAAGTGTGTTTTGTATTTTTTAATATCTTAATACACAACAAAATAAAAAAAATATTTGCCTTTTTTCAAAGCTGAGGGGAGGGGAGGTGGGTTGTTCGGAACACCTACAACCCCCCCTAAATACGGCCTTGGTTCCGATGTACCTCAGTCGGGAAAAGGAGGGACGCTTCTAAATAAACACTTTCAGGCAGGTATTTTTTTTTTTTGATAATACCTTTTCTTTGGAAGCTGCGTTAAAAGATCTTCCAATCTTTTTTTCATTCGAAAGCAAACGAGAAGTTACGGAAGTCAAATAAAAAGCACCCTCATTGCGAGTGTCGTGTCGAATGCAAGTCGTTTTTCGAGAGTCGCATCGTATCGAAAATTTCACGTCATTGCCTAAAATTTCCACTCGACTAGTGTATTAAAACGGAAAAACTTGGCAGTTTTCGATGATTTTCGTCGTCTACTTATCTTAGTACGACAGTAGGCATTGCTAATCGAACAATTTAGTGTATGTAATTTACAACTTAGGCAATGAGGCGATTATTTCATGAACATTCCCCCCTTTTTAGGGAAGATATATGTATAAGGAAGCCTGAAGTTCAGGCCATTCCAAACTAAATAAGGAGTGAAAAAACGATCTCGAACTTAAAATATCCGGACTTAGGGTGCCTAGTAGGCCTATTTTTCTAATTTTGCCGACAGGGTTCTTTGATTCTGTAATTATTAATGAAGCGTTCAACACTTTTCAGTGCTTTTTACCAACATATGTATTTACATATGTAAGCACTAGTACATATGTACATTCAAAATTATGTTTATGAATCAAAATTTCACTACTAAATATATGTATGTACATATGTATTACCAGGAATGCCTAAGTGTTGAAGTTCTTTAAATTCGTTGACAAAAATATATAGTATTTACATAAATATGTACATATGTACCTTGGACGTACATACATAAATGTTGTGTTTACATACTTATGTATGTACATATGTACATATATACAATAAAACCCAATAGCTGTGCGTAACGTAATTATCTTAATACTATTTATAACGCACCTGGACACACTGAATTACAAGCTAGTTCGCTGTGAAAAAGATTCTTTGTCTGACACGAATTAGCGTCGAGATCAATCGTAACAGTTACACATCTATTGGACTTTGGGCTGAAGCGGTAACGTGTCACATTTCGCTCAGATTGCACTTTACCTAGACAAGCATTGTCCATTGACTCAAAGCATACATCTCCTGCAGGATTACATTACAATCATTAACACATACATACATAGCTAATGAATGCATATCTGTACATACTTGTCTTAGAGCAGCAGACTCCACGATGTGTCACCGGATTCAACTGACACGTGTGTGTTGTGGGACAGGCCTCATTATCGTTGTGTGGTCCGCAACTCACCTCAAGATCACCTTGTTTCAGCGGATTACCTTCTGGGCAAAGCGATACCCTCCGTGGCACACAAATGGGCATTTTAGGGCATGGTGAATCAATGCACTCTACATTAATCAGCTGACACTCCTCGCCGCTGGAACAATTGATTTCATTACAAAAGTCTCTACACTCACAAATTGCACATCCGTTTTGATCGATTTTATATCCGGCTTCACATTTCTTTTCGCATTTTGTTTCCGGACAAGCAAATGTTGCATTCACCTTGCATATCGGCGACGTCCCTTTGATCCGTGTGCCGTTTAATGCCCAGCCATTTTCATCGACACACCAGCAAAAGCCATCTGGTGAACATTGTACTTGATTCCATTTGCCGGTGCGTGCATCGCATTGAGCTATATGCATTTTCATTGCCGGTATACCTAGCTCTGATGCTTGGTGCATCTGTATTGTGTGCAGATGTTGGCAAGCGGTTTTCATTTGAGGCAACACGCACTGGGTGCCACAACCATTCGAACAACATCGTTTCTGACCATCACAGTGCGAGTCTGTACGACATTCGTAAGCACACGTGTTAGCGTCCAAATTGTCAGGACCAGGTGGCACCAGGAATGGGCATTGGCCAGGTTTACGCGGTAAACACGCTGGAACGGGTGGACAATATTCTTCATCACATGAGACATCGACAATCCGACACTCTTTGCCATCCCCGCAAACAACACCATCGCAAGGGTCGCGACATTGGCAGGCGGGGCAACGTGTGCTGGGATCTAATGTGAAGCCATATTCACATCCCATTCGGCAAGTTAGATCCAAGCAGTCGATGGATTCACGAATATTCAAGCAATCCGAGTCAGTTAAATTGAATCCACGTGATTTTGGTATTTCGGTGCCAAAGCTGTCTACACACCAACATTCCTCTACTTCGATTTCCACCAATTCGTTGTCGAACAGCGACTGTTTCGGCGCTGGCAAAACTTTTTTAAACTCCACTTCAAAAAGTTGTCCCAAACTTTGCGTACGATCAGCTCCAACTTCAATTACTTTTGCATTACGACTCTGGATTGGCGCAGCAATGTGCACTTTTAAGGCGTCATCGTTAACGCGATACAATTTTAAACGCTCTACTTGCCGTTTCTTACGTGTTTGTCTCTCATCAGTGCTTTTCAGTAGCATGCGCATGCGTCGTATGGTATTCTCCTCGAGGATTTGCCGCTGTTCAGCACGTGTAACACGAATTTTCTTCATGCCACACTGACGTTCTAAATAGTTGCCGTCGTCGGTACAACGTGGTGCCGGTATAGCCAGTTGCATGCCTTCTTCGGTACCTTCCATGCGTTCGGAAAAATCTCTTAAATATTCACACACTAAAAAAGTCCAGAGTATTTAAGTAGATAGTAATAAACATCAATACAAATAACTATTATAGGCAGGATGTTTACTCACTGGTTTGTTGGCGTGTCGAATGCCCATCCATGGCTATAGTCTCTTCAGGAAGTGGGCAACAAATACTTTCCGTATCGTGGGGTAACTTCACGCATTTATAGTTATTCGGGCATGCAATACGATTGGACATAGAGCGCGACTGCTTTATTTCTGGTCCCGGTTCAAAGAACGCAGTTGGTTGAAAAGCTCGAGATTGGCGCTCTAAAAGCAAATAAATACAAGCAAATATGAAATTCGTATGTAATAAGTTTACTGTAAGATCGATTATAATTAAAATATTAAAGGATTGTACAGGTAGATATAAATGTGACTTATAGATACTGCGTACGTACCTTCAAAACAATACATAACTTCACCAGTTATATTATCAGCTAAAGGAGCACCGACGTCGCACGGATTAGAATATACCAAATCGGGTTTGCATACAGGCCAGGAAGCGCATAGTGCGGAGCCTGTTTCACATAATGGATCAGTGGCAACTTCACAGTGTGAACCGATCGCACACTTGAAGCCCTCACAAGGCTCCGAGCATTCACATGAAGGGCATCCATTATGATCGTTCTAAATGAAATAGACAATATTGAATTTTCTGTAAAATTTAATATCCTTACGAAGAATACATATCGATGGTCCTATGTAATAACGACACAATTCAAAATTCAAAAAAAAAACCGTTACTACTGTTAAATGGCTCATGTATTTAATCCTTGTCGAATCCATGTCTAATACTTTTGTACTTACTTTAGCAATCCTTACTGCTTACATTAGTAAGGGATGGAAATGAATTTGACAAGAATTAGAGACAAGAGCCACCCACTTAACATTAGTAATAGTTTTTATTTTTTGAAATTTTAATTCTGTCGTTATGTACATACCGATGTACCTATGCTCGTGAATATCAAAAACTGAACCAATAAAAGTAAAATTGTTTGAATTTTCTAATTTTTGTACCAGGGAACGAAAATAACTGTTATGATGTATTTCAGAAACTAAAAAGTAAAAGCTTAAAAATTTTCTTAGAAGTTCGGAAGTCGGTAATACCACCAAAAGATAGAGCGTCCATGGTTGGGTAGGTCATATTTTTGCGTTGTTCAATAAAAAAAATGCCCTCTATTTTAAAGGGGGTAGACTAGAAGACCCTATAGTATAGGGCCTATACACATATATATGTACAACGATTTTATTCTCTATATATAGGCTGGTCCATGTAGTATTCTTTTAATCAGTGTCATATCTTGTGGAACGAAATTAATTGCTTTCCGCTTGTACAACATTGGGAGATAATGCAAATTTAATGGATAACGATTTTGCTCGAAAAATAATATTTTCTGAGGTAGAGCATTTTTATCTCGACGGGTATATTAACAAGCAGAACTGCAACATCTGGCGATTGGAAAACCCGCACGTGATCGTCGAGTAGCCAATACATCCTCGGAGAGTGACAGTTTAGTGTGGATTTTGGAGCGTTCCCAATAGGCCCATTTGTCTCTAACTTGACAGCGTACGACTTTTTCGGTGGGGTGCCGCGACGGAAAATCCATTAACGATTCAGGCCCTTAAGGCGAATATCGAGCGCGATACGCAATAGCGAAGTAAACCAAGGCAGCTACATTTATGAAACCGTGTTCCGAAAAGAATGGGAATGTTTGTTCTTTCGAATAAACCAATAATATACCAACCGCTGTGGTGTAGCGGTAAGAAGTGCGCACTGCCATTCCGCAGGACCTGGGATCGATTCCAGTTTCCGACTAACATCAAAAATAAAAGAAAATAATAAATTTTTTCTAATAGCGGTCGCTCCTCAGCAGGCGAGTGCATTTCTGCCACGAAAACAGCTTCTCATAAAAATTAACTCTCCGTTCGGAATCGGCGTAAAACTGTAGGTTCCTCCCCTTTGTGCGACAACATCAACGCGCACGCCACACATCGGAGGAGAAGCTCGGCCAAGCACTTACATATTGTGTAAGCGCCAATCTATTTTTATTACTATACCGAAAAAAAATTGTGTTTTCTTTTTGAATTTTTAGAACGAAATAACTACTTATATGGACTACCCTTTCTGTACATGTGTATGTACATAATACGAAACTCCTTTGCTTACCTTAAAACCATATTCGCATACTGCTGCGCAAATATTCGTATCGCACTTTTCCATATTAAAGCTTCTACCCAGCGAATGACTTATCATATTCTCCCAACCATCGCAATTGACATCATTTGCTGGCCCCATTGAGCCCTGAATTTTATGACCAGTACGTGGATCAACACACCAACATACGAGGCCATTACGCGAGCACTGACGTGGTGAGAATAACCCACCGGGGCCATTACAATCCGGTTGATAGCCACGACCTTCCCTCTCATTGACCTCTAAAATATCGGAGAGGGCACGTGCTTGATGGCATGTAGTCACATTATACGGCTGCTGGCAATTAAATTGGCAACCCCTTGTAAAGCAACATTTCTCCATATTACCACATTCCAGATCGCTGTTACATGGAGAACCACACATGTATCCCGTACGTTCGCTGTATTCAACTTTATCTTGCGCCGGACAAATTCCTGGCTTCGAGAATTTCATTGTGCTTGGACAACAAACTCCATATTCATTACCAGTTTCAATCATGCACTCATAGAGTGGAGGACATTGTGGCTTTCCTGTTTCATTACCACAAAGAAATGGACGAATGCTGCCATCAATGGCTAATGGCATGCCAGCTGGACAGTATGTAGATAAAGATCGAGCTTTTTTACACGTAGGCACCGGGGGGCATGGTTCAACTTTGCATTTGACTTCTTGTGGTTGACACGCCTGTCCGTTGGGACAAACCACGCCTTCGCAAATATCGCGACAATGACAGACACTACACCCAGTTTCGGGGTCCCGGGCAAAGCCCGCTGGACAGAACATGCGACACGCAGAAGCCGCGCAGTGCGTTGGCTCGGAACAGCGTACCTGCGACTTTGACTCGTTGCGAGTACCTGGTATTTCGACGCCATACTCATCAATACACCAACAATCTAGGCCGGTTCTTTCGTTACGACACTGGATCTTTTCAAATTCTCCACTTTTACTACATCGCGGTATACGAATTGAGGAGTGTTTTTCATTTGAATACAATGCTTTGGCGCGTCGGGTCTCTACACGACGCAAATGTTGGCATGCTGTTAAGTTTGCTGAAAAGGAGAAGAGAAAAATATTTTTTCTTTATACTTGCATACTTGTTAACGGAAAATTATTTTTTTTTGATGGATTTCAAATTATAATATGTATATGTATGTATGTATGGAGTTTGTAGATATGTATGAATGTATAACTATGCCGATAACACCACGCGATAGTCAATTTTACACACACAAAAAAAAAACTATATCGCGAAACCATCTGCCAAATATCGTAAAGCCGCGTCCATCCTGACTTTAACAGCTTAAAAAAATAAAACCTAATAATAATCTTGCAAATCAAAAAACTTGAATGTTTTAAATTGTAAAGAAATTTCTCTTGCATTTGGTACCCGTAGTTATTCTATATTGCACTTAATTTTTTTTAATAATTTCTAAATTAATCATATCTTTAAAATCTCAAAGTCCTTTAACAAAAGTCCTGACGTCAGACAATGTTTCGGCTAAATGGAGGCGGGTGGAAACAATAGTTAGCCTGCACCGATTTCGCTCAAATTTGACATGTGCTCTAATTTAAATACAAAATTTGGGGAAGATTGGATGGAATTTTGTATATTTGGAAAATTACGTATATTTGCCGTCGCTTGAAGAGATCCAATTATATATTTAAAAACTATAAGTAAATTTTAAAAAGTAAATTTTTTGATAAAAAAAAAATAGGAAAATACCAAATAAATGATAAACACCTTCACTAAATATTCCACGGCACTGAAAGTATTGATTACAGTTGGAAAAGAAACACTTGCTTTAATGGCAAGGCAACTAAACTGATTTTTCAGTATCGGGCCGATTCCAGTGTTTTTTTTTTTTTTGTTGGAAATGTACCGGTCGTAGAGAGGAGGGGTGTGTAAATGATGTGAAATTTTGAAATTTTTGACTTTTGACTTTTCCCTCTCTAAGTCTAACCGCCTTCATATAGACGAAACACTGTGCGTCAGAGTGAAAAACTAAACTAACTAACTAATAACGCGCTATAGAGCCAAAATGCTCTGTAAATTTGATTAGGCAATGCATAGAAAGCTATTCTATAGATGCTAAAAGAACTCGTTTTTTTTTAATAGAGCTTGGAATTTTGGAACAGGACTCTTCCTAAAGCCAAGGCTTCTTATTTGACGCGCTTAGAAAACAACACTCTGACCATGATGGAATAATAACAAGGTTTTGTCAGTAGCAACGTGGTTGTTGTAATTTTGACAAGATTGGGATGCTTATTTTCAGTGCTGTCGTTCATTATTTTTATACTACTATTCTTTGGGAAATAGTATCTAAAATACTATGTTTCAGTAATTCGCTTTATCGCAATTTTTTAAGAACTTAGTGTTCTCAGAACGATATTAATATTTAAAATTGATGGATTTGTATACTTTTTGTCCTCAAAATGTAAAAAAAATAAAAGATATCGTGGTTATCAATGGAAAAAGGCGTACACAAAAATTTTTTGGAAAGACAATTTTTTATATTAAATAACTTTTGCTGCATTGTCATAATATTGAGCCAAATGGACCATGAGATACCGACCCTATCATAGTTGTCGACGTCGATGTAATTTTTTCGTCAAAAAATAGCCCTCGCAAGTCCAAGTCAAGCTACGCTGGCCACAGTATTTTTGCGGAAAGGTGTTCCTACCATGCCTCAGACTACATACCGTCTATTGTACTGTTTTCTTATTCTGTTTAACATATTTTAAATCTTCGCAATCTACGAATAAATCGGACCACTGTTGGGTGTTAAAGAGCTCTACAGCAAGGGCAAGTGGCGTTGTCATGTTCGCTTATCACAGTCAGGTGCTATAACTTCTACCGCTTATACTTTTTCCAGTTTTCATAAAAAAAAAACAAAATCGTGGTACAGAACTGAGCAACACTATTGCAAGAAATGTTAATACGCCACAATAAAATTGTCAAATAAAATGATTTTAGTTTAAGAATACTTTTGATTAGGATTGCCAACTATTCAAAAAGGCATATCTATCCAAAATGTATTTAACAAAGTGTGATTGAACTGGACGTTGCTCTCAAAAGAACCATCTCATAATGTCAAATACAAAAAATATATGAATTTTGAACCGTTTGTTTATATTTTTTGACATTATAGTACCGTAAAAGAGAGCCGCACTGAGTTGTCAATCACACCTTGTTTAATACATCTTGTATCTACCTAAACCAACAATAATATTTTTTTTTTTATTGGTCCCCTTGAGGGGTTTTGAGAGACCTATAAAAATAGTTAATATTAAAAAATGGTTAAATAAACCCTTGGATATTATTATTGGAAGTCTCCTAAAGAGAAATCGAAAAATATTGATTTTCGAGAATTCTACACCATTTCTACGAAAACGAGTTTTACGCCTATAATTAGAAAACTCGAGAACTCGCAAGGGTGTTTATAAAAATTTGTAAAGCTAGAAGGAAATATTTACTTCCTGTTGTGTTAATGCGATTTTTCTTCGGCACACATAAAACTGCCTGAGCGTGAGGAAATCTATGGATGAGCCCGTGTGCATCTCCTAGCGCTTATATGTATTATACATACATACATATGTATGTATTTAAATATGTACACGTTTGTGTACAAACATACTATATAGTACATAATATGTATATATGTACATATGTACAAAGCGCATTTTGTATAACTCAACCACGATTGAGAGAATACAAAGGTTGCGCCGATCTCGGACCGCTATTCCTCTCTTAACGAATTTGACAGAATCGTTGTTTGCATGACGTCACACTGGTGCAACTTGTTTACGTTTTCCTTGCAACATTTTTTCTTCTTCTTCCATTCTTGCTCACGTTTTGGCATTTCTCTCTCGCAATTGCACCAGTGTGACGTCACACAAAAGTTATTCTCAAAAATCCTCTCTGATCGGCGCAATCTTGTATTCTATCATTCTTGTAACTCAACCATTTCTCCGATATTGGCTCTCTGAAACGAAAGCGAAACTTACTATATTTGGTATATAGGAAACCAATTGTGTCGTAGAGTCGTTGTTAGCACATAACGAGTGGCTCACGAAGCTACATACATACATACATATGTACTACCGCTACACGACGATGCTAAGTGATGTTGCTAGCTTTTGCCCATTGACCGACTGACACAGTGTTTTCCTAATGTTTCATTTTGCTAGCGTTCTTTCTTGACTTTTTTGCCTATTGCGAGTACGTACATACGCATATGTATGTACATATGTGCATATGTATGCATATGTGTGTATATGGATCTTACACCAGTTTTATGTTGACTAAAATCTTACTAGTTTATCACAGCGGAAATGACTTTAGATCGTTGGGTGTTTGATCTTCAGACATGTTTGTTCACTTAAAGAGTTTCAACACGTTCGTGCAACATGGCGGGATGGAAAGTGACTGCATTGGTTCCCTGCTTAGTGTGTGTATGTACATATGTCGGTGTCTATTGTATATGTATATGTTTACGGATAAAAAAAAACTATGTTCTATTTAAATCAATAACCAACAAGAAATTAATTAAGTACTTATTAAACTTACAGCTCTCAAGAAAAATCTGAACCAACATTATTCATTATTTCTGTTGATTGAAAAAGTACTTTGCTTTTGCTGTAAATTTTCTTTTGTTTAATGCTTTGCATTAAAATAAACAACGTTTATGAGTGTTATGGTGCTGCCTTTGGTGTCTAAAGTGTCATAAAAATAGTCTACTTTTTTTTAAATATCATACTGGGCGATGTGAAATTTAAACAAAAATTGAGATTAAAATAAGTATTTTCTAAGCCATAAAAAACCGACATCAATTCGGTTAACGGGTCCACGTTTTTCGTTTTCAATCTCATAAATTGTTTATAATGACTTTTGCTAAAATTTTAAAATCAAAAGTTATCAAAACAAATTCTATGGGACTGACTATGGGACTATTCTAATTTGGTATATTAAAAAGTTTTTTATTTTTTATTTTATATGTATATGTATTTAAATGTGATATGGAATAACCCATATACATACATACATATGCATAGTACTCGTATGCACATAAACTTAACTTCAACATTACTCACCATTCAATCTCTTAGCTTCGGCAGCATTGAATACGCACGCGTAAGTGCATATAGACAGGAGTATAAGTTGCAGCAGCAACTCTCGTTCATTCACCCGCGCCATTTTCGCTAAACTCAAAATTTGGCAACAGCATGAAACCACAGCACAAGACAAGTTTTTCGCTTTTTTGTATTTATTTTACTATAGCAAAGCGGTTGAGAAAAAACCAAGTTTTGGCATAAAATTCGTTTTGTTAGTTGAAGACACTGAAACGGCAATGAAGAAATAATAATACATTTATATGTACAACTCATACTTATGTACATGTAATGGCTAGTAATATATGTATATATATATATATATGTTCGTTAATTGAGGAATAACAAACATATGTACATAGTACATACATGCATACATGCAAAGTGTAAAAACAAAAAATACAAAGAACAAAGCTATAAATAATATGGAAAATGCATAAGATCGTGAATATCCATTTAATTTTTATAAATTTTGCTTGGCGTTCAAATAATAAAAAATACTATGTTCATATGTACGTACATACATATAGTTAGCTCAATTCACAAAAGCTATACACAAAAAAGTTTCTCGTTTTACCGGATAACTAAAAAAACTTTATACAAAAAACAGATAGGGCTTTTTAAAAAGTGCCATATAAATTCGTGTTTCTTGATACTAATACTTTAAAATTTTTAGTATAGTTTAATATGAGGCCTAACTGACATTTCAAAAAAAGTTGAGGTGCATCTTAAAATGCATCACTAGAAACGAAACGGCAACGGTAACGGCTTTGAGTTAAACGTTTCTAATTTTCAATTTAAAAAATTTTCAGGAGAGGAAAGAAACTTCTTATGGCCATTTTCTTCAAGTATTTCGCAAAACTTTGATTACGATATTTTACCTGTTTAAAGCAAATCAAACCTCCATACGAATGATAAGGATTCGATCTTTCCACTTGAGTGGAAAAAAAAGCTTTTGACTGCCGTTGTCGAGTAGGTATAGATGTCGGCTATGAATTCTGTGTGTCGCAGGTTCAAATGCCAGCATATGCAGTATTTAAATGATAGAAGCAAAATTTTTATTATACAAAATTTATAATTTTCATATGAAATTTCAATTTGTAAAGGCTTTGCAAAAGCATTTTCAATCCTGATAATTTATCAAGAAAAGAGCTTTTGATTTTTGTGCTAGAATTCCAATTCTTGTTAAATAATAAAAAAATTACAAATTATAAAAATTTTGTGTTTATCAAGTGCTTAGAGCAGCCCTAGTCTTTATAAATTCCCCGAAATTTCGTATAACCGAAATATGTTTAGTATAGTATAATAAAAATTTCGCAAAACTGAAAAGAAAAAACACTTGTTGCTCTTGTGTTATGTATACATACTTATGTATATGTGTGTACATACTATACAAGTTTGGTTTCATGCAGACACAAAAAAACACCTTTGGTAAGGTGCATTTATATGTGCACACATGTATAACTGTAAGCTGTAACATTTTGAGATTAAGCTGCTGCTACCAAGTTGGCTTGCATATATATGTATGTATGTACATATAAATGGATGTATGCATGCGAGTAGATAGTTGCATATTTTTGCCAGCGATGATGATTAATCAGTGAGAGCACCATGGATCGCTTTCACTTTAACAGTGGAATTCAGTTGATTTGTCGCATAGAATACATACACTGAAAAGAATTAGTTGCGAAATCATAGTCAGACCCCAAAAACAAACGAAACTCGTTACCTATGCTGCGATCCGAGTTAATTGAAATATTGAGTGGTTGATCGTTTTGAAAGATTAAAAAAAAAAATATATATATATGCAACGAGAAGCTGGCCAAACTATAAGGAATGCAGTTCGCGATATTAGATAAAAACAAAATATTTAGCTGAAAAATCTTTTTTTTTTACAAATTTCAAGTATCAAAAGAACCCGATAATCCGAATTTGACTGAGTCGAATGTGGGGGAACAAATGCTTTTTCAAAGTGTACTACCAGTTTAGATATCGCACACAATCTTCAAAGGTGACACAACTCAAAATTAGACGTTCGTCAGAAAATGCGAAAAACTATTTCCTAGCACATGATAATCATATATATATATATTTTTTCAACAATATATAATAAAAATTGCTCCAGCTTTTGCCTGAATGGTAAATAAAAGATCTGTGTACATTTTTAGTGTATAATTTAAAAGATGCCAAATTTTGAGTTGTGTCACTTCTTCGTATATCCATTTTATTTCCGGTTCCGGTTCATTAGGACACACATCATAAATTGTTTTACAATTTCGCATACGCGAATAGTTTTTAGGTGTTAATTTCCCAAATATACTAAAGAATAAACAATTCAAGTAACATGTTTGACATTTTTTTAAGGACCAGATATACTGCCAGTTTTACCATCAAATAAATCGAAAAAGGATTTTTCCCTTCTGTCAGTTTTCATATTAAATTCAGATAAAAACAATAATAATTATTTCCTTAAATCGCTTTCGTAAAACGTGGCTATAAAAGTGAAATACTGTACCCCTTTGAATTGGTATGCTTTTTTACTATAACTTAAAAAAGGAATTATGTATGGCTGGTTCTAAGCCTTCTTAGTGCAATTTTTTTTTAAGGAATCAGACAAACAAGTTTCAAAATACTTTGTACATCATATTAACAGAGCTTTATTTGATTAAGGGCCGATTTCATAATGAAACACTTAAAGTTCCTTTTGCAAAAGTTTCCTTTTAGTTAAAGTGTCAGTTAAATGTACTTTAAACAAGAAGTGTTTTCATAATAAAATGGCCATTGAATAGTAACAAAAGGTTCATTTAAATGGAAATATAGTTGGCAATGCCGATCTCGGCAAAAGAAGGGATCTTCGAAGAAAACTTAATTGTAATTAAAACCAACGACTAACGACTTTTATTATAAAAGTTCGGGTCCCTGATTTAATTACAAAACTGCATTTGTGGGATCCGTGGCCAAGCGGATATACATACAAACATATGTGGTAATGTTACACCCTAATATTTATACAGATACATAGATACATCTTTGTTACAATAAAATACATTGTGGGTGGGTGGTCGTGACTTAGATTTATCTAATAAGGCATATGTGTGTATGATTTTATGCTCATACGACCACCGTACATATGTATGTGTATGTACCTATATAATGCACCGACTTAACAGTTCGATAACATCGTTGGTAAAATCAACATTGCCCGAATTGTTTGTGGTTTGTTGCCCCACATACGAAAAGTACATTGTCCAATTTGATGCCAAATTATTGCGTTTGGCCAGCAACCAACTGTGGTAATTTTATGTGAATATGTTATTTATGTATATAGATATGTACATTTATGTGCACATGTACATATGTATGTATGAATTAGGGATGTTTCGAATGTCATATTTTACACATTCGGTAATGCGAATGCGAATTTTCGGAATGCGAATGTTAGGAATAACATTAAAAAAGTTATAATCAACTTAAGTCGTCGTTTTTATTAATTTTATAATAAATTTAATTGTAGAAATGTCACACAGATGCTTTTTAAGTGAAAAAGAGGCTATAAATTGTATAATATATTTAGCTTTACATGTGTAGTTCTAGAAATTTTAGCCAAAAAATTCGGATTTATATAGTTTTTGTTAGATAATCAGCTCTACTTTTGTGAAAAAAAAAAATTGCGAAAAAACCAAATGAAAAACAATGCGAATATTATACAAATTTAAGTGAGTCTTTATAGTTATTTACTCGTTTTTACCTGGTTAGTCAGTAAATTTGTACTCAGCGAAAAATGGAAACATATTTTTGAATTAAACATTCCAAAATAAAAAAGTGCTAATCATTTTACAAATTTTCAAAGCGTTTTTTTTTTGTAATTTGCAGGCAGCTTAAAAATCAAATTTTAATACTTCATCATACAGTTTCAGTTTGTATAAGTAAACAACGTCACCAAAGGGGCTTAAGCACCCCCGATCAAAATAATCCCCTTCAAATTTTTTTGCAAACCCTACTGAGGATACATCAAACTCGTCTGAATGCATTCGTCTCATATATTCACAGATACTAATACATGAAAATCCTGCGCATTCGCAAAACGAACATTTGGCTCAAAACTATCTACTAGTTTACTGCCAATATAGAAGCAGTAAATATATGATTATTATTTAGAACATTGAACGAGTGCTTAACCTGTGCAGTTGTTTAATCTAGTAGTCAAAGTTCAAAAGACTGCCTTTTCTCCCATGAGGCGATTTCTAGAGGCTCGTATATAAGGCCGGCTGCGCAGAACAATTGCTCCCTTGGAACGCTGGCAGATGGAGCGCTCAAATATTTGCGGACCAGATCTGTCAATTTGTCGTATTTTAGTTTAGTTTTCCACCAATCGATAGGATTTTTACCGAGATAGGCTCGTTTTTCTTTAAGGTAGGGCTTCAATTGTGCTTTAATTTCACATTTTTTAATGTCTCCATACGAGCCTTCGCCTTCGCTTGTGGAATCTAAAATTATTTCTAGGTTGCTTATAAGACTTTTAGCAGTCCTTGTTGAAGACACATCAATTTGCTTGATATACTTCTTAACCGTTTAGCGCCTGAAGGTAAAAGCCGGTTATTGTCCGCACCCTGATTAGACAGACTTAGGGCCATTTCAACAATATTAAAGTGGACTCTCTGTCCATGTACGCATTCGCATTCGCAAAACATTCGTATCATTTTATTTTATGTCTAAAATGATGCAAATCATTCGCATAACGAATGGGAATGCAAATATTCGCAACATCCCTGGTATGAATGTAGACAGTGGCAAGTGGCAGTCGTGTGTGAACGGTAACATATACATATAGTGATGGCCAAAAAACTAAAATAATCGATTAATTAATCATATGAATAAACACAAGCCAAATAAAATTAATTGCAACTAATTGCAATTATTGAGAAATAATCGATTAATCGAATTTTTAAAGGCTCTTGTTTACAGTGAGTATTCACATAAATACTTTTCCAAAAAGAATTTCTAATTCTCCAGTTAATTAGCCTCTAATAAAATAAAACGAGTATTTTTAGCGGCATTAATAATTTATCATTTAACCAAGTTTGCAAAAACAAAAGCTTTGATAAGCGCTTTGTTGTTAAGCGGTTGCGTTTCACGATGGCTGTAGCACCAGCTCCGAGGTACCAACTACATAAATGACGGTTTTTTCGAAAGAAAGTTTAATTAAAAACACATTTCATCTTGTGGGT